ATTATTATTATTATTATTATTATTATTATTATTGATAAGATTATATTTCGACCCATCTTATTTGCACCTCTCATTATAGCTCGGTTTATTTTCCTGAGATGGGTCTGGACCCCATATTAGATTGGGTCCTATTCAGACAAGTCCCTCTGTTATTCTGGCCCCTACATGAAACAAATGAGGAAAACAAATTCAGCCTTCACCTTTATTCATATTTATTCATACAACCAGTAAAAATAGGCAAAAATAAATATGACATTCAGATCTGTACAAAGACGAAGGAATTGCTACCCTTCAAATGACAATAAACGACAGTTAACAAGTACGGTAATCCCCTTACGATATTCCACTCGCTTTAATCCCTTTTATTAAATACCATAAAAATAACGTTTAGAATACTATTATCCTATAGAATGCTTCGAGACCCAATAACTTGTATTAGGATAATATTTATAGTATTAATATCTATTGATTATTCCGACATGATATGAGAGTATTAGACCAAAGAAATATCTCTCTCTCGACGCCATTGTCATATTGAACAAAAATGACTAACACGAAAACATGTCATTGAAACCCTGGGAATAAGTGAAAATTAAAACTAAATGTGTCCTCAATTGGAAGAAGGTAGATTGAGAGACTTTTACCAAGAGATGAAATAAACGTATTAAATATATTATAGTGTTTTCTTTGTAAGCATGTAGGAATATGACGTAATTAACAGGAGTCATACCAAAAGAACCACAAGGATCTATGACATGACCTAAATAGAAAGTGATTATTTTTAGTGATATCAAATCTGATTATTCAGTGTTTTTGGTTGAGTCTTTCTTGCTACCTTCTACCAAACAAGACCGTGTTTTCTTGAACACTACTGATCACTGTCGTCCCCAGTTTCACTATTGATGCGCCCAAATGTTGAATATTTCTCTACAGATAGACTACTATATCCATCTAAACTACAATGAACACTAAGAGAAATTTTCTGAAATTCTTTGAAGAACGTGGACACCAAGATGGCGAAGCAAGACGTACCAACCCATTCACAAACATTACTGAGAACATGGAGAGCGTAGCCAGCATTCTCGGGTTTCCATTGCTGGATGCTGTTTTTGGTACCGCTTCTGATGAACGCCTTGTAGGCAGGGATCTCGGCCAGGAAGAACGTCAAGCCACAGATGGAGGTAAGGATAGTCAAGAATAAACGTACGCCAAACATACACATGGTATTGTAACCAGCCTTGGCGAAGTTATAAGTGATGATCGTCTGGGCCCAGAAATAAAACGTACCTCCAGAAAACAAGCATATACTTCCAATATCATGAACTACCATCATAGCATGATGTTCCTGTAGAACGAGAAAAAATGGGGTACAGAGCTGGTTAAGATATGATGACAGCCCGGTAAAATACAATTAATTGCCTGAAGTTGAGGATCATTCCTCGACTTGAGGATACGGATGATCCTCATAATGCTTCAGTGAATAAAGAGAATTTTTTGGTCAAAACCGCCCAATGCCCCTTTTTGTCGGCCAAGTATAATCATCTAACTATTACTATTCATCTCGTTTGACTTTGACTCGAGTTCAAATCTACGCCTGGGTCTGAAATATTTTCTTAAAAATATATAAAATATTTATGAAATGAATTTTTTGAACAAAATACCAAGGAATCATTCGTCCATTAAAAAAATAACGAGGGGAGCCTCTCGATTCAGTTTTAAGGTTCACGAGAATCGTTATTTTTTGAAAAGATTATGATATTTTCCAGTTTTAGTAGTGCTTGTGCATTGCCAGGTCTTTAGCGATGGATAAATTTATGTAATAGATCAATGTTAACTCAGGGAAAGATAGCCATTTGAATGAATAAATTCCGCATGATATATAAGACATATAACTCTGTATCAAAGGGCCGTTTTTTCGCCGTTTTTTTCGCCGAGATTTTAGCCTTATAAAATAGCCATTTAATGTCAATTTTGAGTCTTTGTTAGGCTAAGTATCTAATCTTTTTGTACACTGGAAGGAAGGTAGTTTTGAATCATTGCTTAACGACGATGTTATGCGTAAGAAAGACACATTCTGCGGGGGTGTTCTCGTTGCCTCGCAATGGTACATGATATTAAGGCATCTCATGGTAAAACACAGATCGCGATTTTACACTTATCTTAAATCACGGCCACGAAAGGCGAAAAATTCATACAACACTGCTTTAAAACTGTTGTCTGTCGATCATTCAAACACGGGAAATTCAGTATATTAGGCGCACTTGCTAGCAAACCCACTTTGGTYATGATGCCTTTGACGTCCACCAAACCCCTTCAATTTGTTTTAGTACAGTTTTCACGCATGGAAAAGAGGAAAAAGATATTACCAAACCGGTTAATACTAATTCTCTTTTCCCTTTTATCAGAAAAATGGTTTACCCTAAAATTGTTTTATCGCAAAAATGGTAGCAAATCCCAGTTCGTTATCGTAGTTTATTCCTTTTAGTGGACCGATCGATGCACAATTCTATCCTACATGGAACATTCTATTGATCTGTAGAAACCTAAAGACCCTTGACAAACAATCAAGCATTTGCAGGCCTTTGTCACCACTTGGACAGTAGTCCGATTATTTACTCCAAAGGTGTAATAAATGTTTTTTACGAAGGGGACAAATGGTTCTGAAGGTAAAAAATGGTGCGATTAAAACCGGACCAACCGTGGTGGCTAGAGCCATTCATTGGTGGTTTATGGTTTTTTACTTGTTGCTCGACTAATGTCACGACAAAAAAATTGGCCATCATTTTATTTGTTATAAAAAAAGCGACGTTTGAGATAAAAATCAAGTATAAAAGTTTAATTTCTATAATGTTTTGGAAGCATAAAGGAGGTCGTGAGGAATTCAAAAGGGACACGTACAAGATCAGCAAGAATAGAACTTCAAAATCTAATGATTCTTTACTAAAAAAACTGAGTAAAATGGTGTGAAACAAAACCAACGGTGTTTACCTCTAGACTAAATATGAACCGTACGTATTTTCAGAAGTACCTGTAGTGAATTTGGTCCATCCGAAACAATAAAACGGTGAGCGTAAGAGTAAAATATGTTTCTAAATTCATTTTAATGGTCAAAAATACTAAGTACTATAGTGGTTGTTGTTCTGGATCATTGCACATGGATGACTTACAGCGTCATTGAATAAAAACCCTTAAGTGATTCCCTTAACACATAAACATATATATGGTATCTTAAATATATCTATTATTAACCGACTAGAGTGTTCATTTCAGTTATTGCAGTTAGAAATGAACTTCATGTCGATATCTAAGCTATGTTTGAAGTCGAGTGTTGATGCAGTTAGCACATAAATCAACAGTATCATATGTTGGATTATATATGGCTGTGACTTCGCTATAAAACACACCTTCTCAGTGTTGAAAGACGGCTTTTAAAAATAAATAGGCTCGTAAAATAAAACTAAGATCACTTATAGAATAATTTGAAAATGTCTTACCCTTTCTGATTTAAAATTCCCCACCAGAGTAGCGCCGAATGCGCTCAAAGATCCTAGGACTATAGAACCTTGATTTAGTTTCTGAAGTGTATTTCCTTTGAGTTCTTCGACTGTTCCTGTCGCTAGAATCTCCCGAACTTGGAAATAGCGAATCACCATTAGCACCAAGACTGAGTAAGCAATGAAGTTGAAGCTTTCAGAGAATAAAGCATTCTCTGGGATCTTCAGACCTGTGTCACTTATGGCAGGAACGTAAGGATAAATATGGCCTCTAGAAGTGGCGATTGTGTAGCAAATGGCCAGTGCAATTCCTGCGAAGAGAGACCAAAACATCGGCAAATAGCCGAGTCCTGGCTTTAGACAAGACATTGGTCAACTTGATTTCTTCATGAGCTTCATAGGTGAATGAGTACAAGGTAAGCAACAAAGCGAATTCAGACTCTTGGGAAAGCGAAGTTAATGCTCCCGCCTCATCAAGAAACAGAAAAACAATTGAAATTTATGCAAATCTATTCAATGCCCAACAAAGACTTACTGCTAGTTATTTGCATAATCCAAAAAGAGATTTAAAATGCTGTCAGCAGGGATGTCTAAACATCATTGAAAAGACATTTATGAATCATTCATCTTTTGTGGGGACGGAAGCCGTTAAATCACATCAAAAATGAGAGAAACGTTGATATTTTTCAGGGTTTTTCTGTCCATTGCTTTTTGGTGTATTTGAATAGTCAAGCCGAGTGTGACGTAGGTAAAATCCTCAATACCGAATATCCAACAGTCATGAGTGGGACATGAGTGGGACTATATAAGACTAATATATAGTATACAGAGGAAACATTGAACACCAAAAATCCTACATTTATTTAGTTCAGTGTTATCATTTCAGAAAGCGTCAAATCAGCAGTTTATTTCGGCAATTCCGCAGTTGGTTGGTCCGTGTTTGTGCGGCTACCAACTGGTCATAAAGTATGGGGAGTAGGGAGGGGGGGAGAGGGAGGGGGGGCAAAATTTGCAGCTGCAGAAGATCTGGTTAGGAAGTATGTAGAACATCTGCAGTACCTTCGAATGAAAAAATTAAAAGGGCAAATGAAAAGAAAAAAATAAGGAAGCAGAGAAACTTAAAGYATACGAAGACTATGACTGGAAAAACACACAAGAAAGCGGAATGCTTAAAAAGCAGAGGGTTGCGGTCTTGGACCTCTTTTAAAAAAGCACAACTTGCTTAAGCGAAAAATGTACAAAAGTGAGAAAGTCCAATTAATAAATGCTTGGCTGTCTATGCAGCTTTTAAACACTACGACAACTACAACAGAGGAAGAGCATGACGAAGATGGTACTTCACGCGAGGACACTGAAGATGATGATAATTCATGTGAGGACACTGATGAGGATATACTGAAGATTTGGATAGCGACGAAGAAACTGTTATTGCTACTCATGAAATAGGAATTACTGATAGTGAGAAAAACGATGACAGAGAGAAAGAAGAAGCCGAAACAGTCAATGTTACAAGAAGTGGCAGACGTGTGCAACCAAGAACATTCTTTTGGGATTTAGATTGAATAGTATAGGTAAATCTGATCAGTGGATCCTTTTTTCAGGGGTGGATCACATCTGCAATTTTGCTTCTAAACTGGGGTTGGTCATCATATTTCCAGCATCATTTTATAATGGGCCAAGATAAAAAAACACTGATTGTATTCTGATTTTGCCCCCACCCCCTGTACTTTATGACCAGTCCCTAAACACTGGGTTATATGAAAAAGAAACCAGTTTTGCTTAATCAGATCAGTAATCATACATATTATATTCTTATTGTTCCCCCTGAAAATAGAACATTAGCCAGCTCTAGTTCAAAGTTAACTTCCAATGATGAGCCGGCGATTCTCTTGATCAGCTCGTCCGTGATCATCAGGAAAGTGAGGCTTAAGGACGCTTACTTGATGAAAAGGACGATAAACATCACGAGAAAAGCCACGTTAAGCAAGAATGTTTCATTCTTGGAAGCTGTAGCTGTAGGATGCTTCTGGGGACGACCTAGCTTAGCGAGCAGTCTATATACATCATCTGTGATGAGTCGCTCCGCCCCTTGCTTCACCAAACTGTCAATCACTGCATCCTGACCAACATCCTCCTGTTTGCTATTTTTCATACTATATATCGTATATGCTCCAGCGCTGATGTTAGGGCTGTAGTTATTCCTCAGGGTCTGGAATGTGTTGTTCGAGTAGAGAGGGTTATCGTAAATCTTGTAGTTCATGTCCAAGAAAGTGGCATTGATAGCTTTTGGTACATCTCCAGTTTGGAACAGGCCTTTGATGAATGCTGTTCCATTTGGGATTCGTTTGATGCATTCTTCCATGCCTGGGACTTGAGACACCTGCTTGTATACTCCGTCGAACCATGATGGAAGCCAGTAATTTGGTTGGTAGAAGAAACCTGTGGGAATGTTAGGATTTTCAAGATGTGCTGCAAGACTCTTGATGGGATCAAACGATATAATAGATGCCTGGTTAACCAATCCCATTTCTTTAACCACTTGTGCCACTTTACGTCCCACGTTATAGCTCTCTCTTAGATCGCGCAGTCTGGATGGCTTGATCTGCGGTTTTGAAAAAAAGCTTACCATCAGGTGGGAGTCGATAGGGAAACTCCGTAGACGTACGTTAACCGCACCTACACGTTGTGATTGAATGAATTACTCAAATACAATGGGAAGCCATTTTGATATTACGGCATGTCGTACTGTGTACGTGCTTTAAAACCGTACCGTACGTCTACCATTCATACCTGATTATTTTTATGGAAACTGAGCCATTTCACTGTTACGGCATGCATGTCGCACCGTGTCAATATACGTGCTGTAAAACTGTCAGCTCTATCGCGTCCATACCGACTCAAGAAGTTGATAATGTCTTGAGCAACTCAAAACAAGGCGTGTGTATATATATGTGTTTTACCTCTAGGTACATGAGTTTGTCACTCTCCTTCATAGCATTCAGCACATCTCTCAGCATTGGAATAGGACGACGCTTAGAATAATTGTAAACATTACCATCTGTAAAGAACAATATATCATTTGGTAAAATTCAAGTTTGTTTAGGCTACCTGTGGTGCGATCAACTTACCGTAATTCAAAGACTTGGGCAGTTCAATCTTAGTTAGCTCTTCTGCGGTTGTTTCCCACATGGTCTTGCTTACTCCAGTTAATTTCTGTTGAAAGAAGGGAAATGTGTGGTTTCAGTATAGCAGTATAGTCCCTGGCTATGGCAATATGTTCACCATATGCTTACATGTGCTTAGATTGTTTTTGAATCGTTATGAATAAAAAYACACTACGGAGGAGAGTTTTAATTTTGTGTTTTCACTGTTTTTGTCGCAGTCAACACAAACGATTGTCGAACTGTTGAACGTAAGAATTAGAAATCCCTGGCGCATGCGCATGCGAAAATACTGAAAATAATTCACTTTCTTCCAAATCACAGCGTGTCTGAGTTAATGTTGTTTGATCAGGGACTAAGCTTTGATGTCCAACGAAAAAGCCTCTTAATATTGTGACATTAAAGCTAGATAGTAAATTTCTAGAATTGATAAGATYGATACTATTTAGCACAAGAGCTTTTTCGCGGGTTCAAATAATCAGCATTACATGCACTCTGCATGATATCAATCATTTACAGCAAATATTCAGTAACGAATCCACCAARCGAGGCCTGATCATGTTAGCTGTTAACGAATTATGAACCATCAAAAACCTGTCTACAAATAATTTCACTAGCCATACCATTGTGTTATCGTCATGAAAAACCACTAATTCTTCGTCCTTGGTCAAATAGATATCTAGCTCAAAGCCGTCAGCATTTGTCTCCAGAAGACTAGTGAATCCTTCTAACGTGTTTTCTTGGTATTTCCGTAGGTTGCCTCTGTGTCCGATCACTAACGGTTTAGCTTTCTTGTACATCAAATGGTTGGCTGGGATTGACCTCATCTTGGTCGTGTAGCATGGAGTATAACACTCTCCCGTAAAACAAATGCTAGAAAATACAGAGAAGACGAAAAGAAAGAGTGCCTTAGAGAGGAGTGTAACCGCCATGTTTAGAACTGGAGGGTCAAAGGTTACACGATCGTAAAGTCAGTCGACGGAAATATTACAGATGAAAACTGATAAAAAGGATCATATGATATTAGATTGCGATGCAGAATGACACACGATATATTAACGAAACTAATACTGTGTTTTTATTGGCCGCTTGCAATGTGGTGTCATTTACTTTCCTTATATACTCTTTTTGGTTTAAAAACAGCTGTTCTTTTAAGCAATAAAAAATTAAATAGTAATCTTTTAGTAAAACGACGCCATCTTGCAAACGGCCTAGAATGCGCTGTAAGTAAAATAAGAATGAAAGAAAGAGAGAGAAAGAAACTAAGGAAGAACGGAGGAAAAAAAGAATGCGCAGAAAACTAACACAAGAGAAAAATAATCAAGAAAGAAAGAAAAAAAATCAGGCAAACGACCCTTCCCTTTGATCAAAGGAACCAAGGCAGGAAAGGAAGTAGACTTTCCGCGCCGAGTCCACCGCCTCATTTTAAATACTATGTTCTAATCTACAACTGCAATTTCTAGCCTGTGTTGCAGACTCGATTGTTTTTACGGAGAACAAGCTATTTTTCTCCTCCAAAATCTCGCTTCGCTTCAACCAATAGACCCTTTCAGCTTCCTACGTCACCGATCGGTCACGTGGTCTGAAATGGGTAAACACACGCACGCTTCAAGCACGCTTCAGCCAAATACTATCGAAGTGGAAAATTAAAAGCTCGAAAATGGTTCACTATTGTTGCGTGTTCAATTGTTATAATAGTTCAAACGATACGACGCTTTCATTTCATGGATTCCCAAA